TTTCCTTCCTTCTCTCACTCTCCTTTTCTTTCTCCACCCCACCAAAAAGACCTTATATTGAAATTTTTTTTTTCTTTCTCCCTTTTTCTTCTTTCTTTTCTTTCTTTTTTTTTCTTTTCTTTCTCCCTTTTTCTTCTTTCTTTCTCCCTTTTTCTTCTTTCTTTCTCCCTTTTTCTTCTTTCTTTCTCCCTTTTTCTTCTTTCTTTCTCCCTTTTTCTTCTTTCTTTCTCCCTTTTTTAATATTAAAACTTTTCTGTTTTTTTCTTTATTTCCTTTTCCTTTTTTCTTGCATCTGGATAAATTGAACTCCATTTATTTAACAAAACACTGGTCTGAAGAGATAGATGTAAAGTCCACAAAATAAATTGTAACCTGATGGATTTTTAAGGATTCTGTATTCATTATTATATTGCTCTGTTGTTACATTGAGCTCTCTTTGGATTAATTTCCTCCTTGGAATTATGCCTACTAATTATCAATTGATATTATTTATAATATATATATATATATATATATATATATATATAAACCATTTTGTAATATTGGTTTGATAAGACAGGTATTAAAAATTTACTTGTTAAAATAAATTTATTATTGGATCTTTCAAGATGTGTTATATTTTTTTCCTTTGACATATATCATATTGCTCTATATACAATATATTGAGCTCTCTTCATGGATCTATCTTTTTAATATTTATATTAAAAAAAAAAACATACTTGGATTATCCTTTTACACTTAGGGATTTGATATTATTCTCTCTCTCTCTCTATATATATATATATATATATATATATATATATATATATATATATATATATATATATATATATATATATATATATATAATTTTATTTATATCTATAGCATCAAATATTGCTATCACATCTGGTCCCCCAGCTTCTGATATGTATTTAGAGATTTTTGATAAAATTCAATGAATCTGCAATGTTATCAGTCCTGACATGGCATCTTCACTTCAGTTACTTACACACTGTAACATAGTTTCTCTGTGCCTTTTTTATAAATATTTTCATGGTAATTGTTCTGATGAGCTTTCCTATTTGGTACCTTGACTCTACAAATTTAAGTGCAGTACTAGATTGGTGGCAAAGTCTCATTTTAGTTTCTTTTGCACTTCTCACTTTTGGAACTCTTTTCCAGTTTCTTGCTTTCAATCAACTATGATCAACAAGAATTTAAATATATGTCAATTGTTATCTTCTGTCTTCTTAATTCCTGTTCTTTTATTATTCTCCTGCCATCAGATTTTTTTTTCACTCAGTAACACCTTGCATTTTAGTGACTTTATACCCTTGGTTGGGGTGAAATGATTAAAAAAAATTATTGGGAATGGTTATTCCCATTATTAAAAGAAAAATAAATCTTGTTAAACCAGTGTTTAAGGGGTTAAATCTTATTTGCGAATATTATGTAATTTTTATCTTAAAAAAAAATGAATATAAATAAACATCCATTCCTTTTCATTTATCTCTCTTCTCTGTGTCAGATTGTTGGCTATTAATAACAATATGCTGTTTATTTTTAGAATAAAGTACAGACTATTCCAAAAGTAATTTTTATGTAGATCTCTTGTTGGTATTGGTCATTACAATTTGTGTAAATAACCAGATCTACATCAGTGCATAAACAGTCCTTATATTTTTAGTGTATATATTTGGCAACATTTTTCATGCAGTAGTAAATAAGTAGTTTTTTTTTTTTTTATCTATCTAAACATCCATCCATCTATTCATCTGCCTACCTGCATACAACTATTACCACAATAAAAATTTCTATTAACATCCCCAAAATGAGTGAGCTATATTATAGGCTAAAACTTACATGTACAAGCATAAGCCAAACAATTTAGCAACATAAAGAATTCTATTCTGAAAACATTGGCTTCTGTAATAAAATCTCACGCTGTGTCATCAATTCTTATGTTGTTTATATGAAACAAAGAGACTCTATTTTATTCCTTGATAATGAATACGGAATAAGATTTGATTTTCAGAAAGATTTGAATTTGCTTGTCATAACTCATCCAACCTTATATTGCTCTTGCTAAATCAAGTTCTGTAAACCCTAAGAAAATCAAGCCAAGGAAACTAAAAGACAGAAAAGACAGTATTTACATTAGTTGGACTATTGTCCTCATCTTTGTCGCCATATTTGTCACAACGTTTCGGCCTTCTTCAGGTGATTGGAATTTCGAACTGAACCCTTTATTTCGATCACTGGGGTAGTTGCCATGTTTCTCCTGCTAATTTTCCCTCTGAAAGTTCTCCACTGCCTTAACCAGGTATTGAACTCACCTTCTTTGGGTCTGTCACTGGATCTAACCAACGCCTTTATCCACTGTGCCATGTGTCCTTGAGGACATCTGGGTATGAACTTCTGAGTATTATAAACCTAATGTTTTCAGCATCATTTTTACAAGTGCTCATATTGCAATTTTGCTGTTATCATTGCATGTCTTTACCAGAGTTCATATGAGGACAATAGTCCGACTAATGTAAATACTGTACATAATACCTCATCTCAGAAATATAGACAGACTCAGACAGAAAAGAGTTTTTACAAAAAGTATTGTCTTAAGTAGAATGTTATATATATATATATATATATATATATATATATATATATATAGTCACAACACATTACATTGCATCTAGACATATGGTTCTGTTGTTAATGTTTTGGTCTCTGACGTGGTATGCCATCATAGAACCACATCATGAATTTACGACTTGTGTCAACAGAATATCATGTTTGATGGTGAATATCTTTGTTTAAATGTTCATATAACCACTCTGAAGTTGGCTCATGTGATCTGAAAGCTGAGATCAAGCTTAATAAAAATATATCCAAATGTTGGACAATTTTCGTCTTTATATTTTCACCCAAAATTAAAGCAACCATACGAAGTTAAGAATGGCTCATAATCATACATAATAGACATTCATTGTCTGTTTTTTTAACAATATATAGGTTAAATAGTTGTGCAGACTGAACTCTTCAGCTTTGGGTGCCAACTGCTCTAAGAGAAGGACAACTAAAATCTACAACTAGTCATCTTGAGCATTCTAGTCACTGGATTACAGTAGGTGATATCCATAGAGTGATATTCATGTTGTACAAGTGACTATCACTATAATCTCTTCTGATGAGTTTCTTAGATGAAAGAGCCAAACAACAGTTAATTTAAGAAAGTGGCCATGCCCAAAATCAGGTAGATGACCATCGCACACACACACACACACACACACACACAATCCCCTTAAGGAAGTGCATTCTTGATCAAACCAAATTCATGAATAATTATATTGGACATGCCACTACATGCCTATCAAGAAGACTCACATTACGCGAAACTGACCATAGCTCAATTAGCACTTCATGTAAAACACATGGAAAACTACCAAACTCTGTCTGCGATATACTTGTAGAAAATACAAGTATAATAGCCTCATCCAGATGTAAAAAACATTAAAAATAATGGAAGCATTAATAATAAAAAGAAAAACCCAACACTCAATAACATCAACAATGAACACAGCCACAATGTGCTGTGTTTGGAAAATGAAAAAAAAAACATTCCTATAATTCTAGATACATACATAAAAAATCCATACATACAGTTAAAAAAAATGAATCCTTGATAATGGCTAAAAGAATAGTTCAGAACGTTTGGACAATATTTACACACTTATATGAACACAAGAAAAATTAAATGAAAAGCTTAATCACGGTACCTTGTCACTCATCTTTAATGAAACTTGCATAAAAGATGGATTGATGCTCAAATACACAATTATATATATATATATATATATATAAAAAACGCTAAGAAAGTGTGTTACTAAAAAACAAAAACAACAGTGTTAACCAGGCTTTTGTTTGTTTAACTCTTCATTTATCTTGTCTCCACTTTCTCTCTCAAGTGGAGACAAGATAAGGAATATTTAATTATATTTTTTACTATCTCTCTCCATATATATATATATATATATATATATATATATATATATATTTTTATATAACCGAGACACATCACCAAATGGGGGATTAACAATTTGAATGAGGGTGGGAAGGGAACTGTATAATAATAAATAATAATATTGTAATAATTTAAATTACTTACTTTTATTGAAGTTTTTATGAAAGATATATATCCAAGAACAGATAGTAAAATGTTGCTGAGAGTTATAATGGACAGGAAGTAGTGGAGACCCATTGTCGCCAAGAATTCGGACTCAAAACTGGCACTGAAGAATTATCTATTAAACAAAAAAAATTTCATTGAAATTGGATGAAAACTGTAAATGCATAAACAGCCAATCACACATGCATACACACACACATTTTGAGAATTATACATATAGATATTATATATATATATATATATATATATATATATATATATATGAAAAATTTCTGTAGAAAAAGACTATAAATGTAAAAGAGTAGGAAAACTGTAATATTAGTCGACGTGTCTTGTCCAATGTGGACTTATATATATATATATATATATATACACACACACACCTACTACTACTACTACTAAAGAAATACCAACTACATAGGTGTGACCAACAGAAAACTTGCCAAAAAGCCTAACACCTTAGACAATAAAAAAATCCTGAACAAGGGAAAAAAAAGAACGACCAAAAGGCAAACACCTACCTACTCAGTAAGTGTTCAATGCTTAAATTATCTAGACAGAGCAAAAATGTTTCACAACCATAACATTTAACAAAGGACAGCCTGAGTCGTTACTTGAATTTCATGCTCTTGTAGTCTTCAGACAACTAGAGGATTCTAGTCATCTGATGATTGCAAGAGCATGATACTTGAGTAATGACTCTGATTGTACTTTAATGAATTTGTAAATTACTAAGTGACTGTTTAAAAAGTAAAAATATACATTTAGTTTCTTTTTTTTTCTCTCTATCCTTTTAAAATATACGACTTGATGCTCTAAACAAATTTTTCTAATGCCTATTATTTTTTTCTTTTCAGATTATGATACTCCAGTCCGTCATACCATTGTATTTCAGCGACGGAGTACAAAAACCCTTGCTTCCTACACTCCTCAGCAGTCTGTAAATAGTTTTGCCTATAGCGGCCATTCCCAATTCTCGCCATCAAAGACTTCTACCCATTCCACATACCATTTCGCTGGTAACCCTGGTGGCAGTAGCAGCAGCAATAACAGTGCTGGCCACTCTAATAACCAAGTGTTGCATGTCTACCAGCATGTACCCCGAATACCCTCCCCGGGTCCATCTTCTTCTCCTGCACCTCCGCCTTCATCTTCCGGATCTGGGCCAATTATGTCTGGCCTTAACCATGCTTTTCAGAACCTCTCGATGGCTGGCTACCGAGCTGGACATGGTCAACCAGATGTTTCCAAACAACAGCAGCAATACCAACAGCAGCAGACAGTAAGCGGTCAGCAAAGACTTCATCAAATGCAGTCCAATGCAATGTCTGGACCCAGCAGTTTGCCACAATACTTGCAGCAGCAGCAGCAAATGTTGTCAAATCAGGCTGCAATGGCTGGTGCTGGGAGGATTCCAGCCAATACGAGTCCAGGCATCACCAGAGCGGTGAACCAACTTGGACCACAGCGTCCACTGCCCAGTGCTCCTCCACCACCTTCTCCACAATCAACACACCCATCAAAGGCAAAAACAGAGAATGCATTATTGTCTCTAAGGGAAGGTAAGTGATCATTACGATTATTACTTTATGGGCACTAAAAATAAATGTTATGACTCTGTTAGAATTGTTTTTGCGTTTTTTGGGGTTTTTTTTTTTTTAATAAATCTTCACCAATTACAAGGCCCAAGAGCCACTCAAGATAGAGGCTTACTGAATGAGATGTTGTATGGATGTAAGAGAAAAAAGTGTAGGATAGATAACAGTTGACCCTAGACCTGAAGAGGTTAAGATTGTAGTGATTGAGGAAGCATTCTCTCAGGTGTCTGTTCCACAATGTAACTGTTCTTATGAAGAAGGTGTCGGTCAAACTTCTTTCTTACCAAAGTAATATGAAGGGAATGAGGATAAGTCGACCCTGTGTACATGGCATGAAAGAGTCTAGATGTAAAGGTCTGAACTGGTGGAACTAAGGAATGTAGCTCATCTGAATATTTGCCATGGAAATAGTGATGGTAGCAATAGGCTTGAACATTCTGGGTATGGCGATAAACTACATCCAGCAGCAAGGTTTTGAGGAGCATGAAACCACCTCTTAATTGCTGTTGTTCCCAGGCCCACCCAGACCTGGGGTTGTAAACATCTGTTAGGGTACCAGCTATGGGCAAATAGTTAACCCCTAAGCTGGGGTCAAAACACTATAAAAGTTTTAAAATAGATTTTTATAATAAAAATACCAGCAATAGACTTTTTGGAAAAAAAAAAAAAAAAAATTACCAGCAATAGATTTGACTCTCGACAAAAAACCTCTTTACAAAAATACACCAATGAAACCTGATGTACAAACTGATTTCTTACAAAGAATACATATTCTATTGACATGAACCTATCCTAAAAATCTTGTCGACATTAAATAACCCATTTAGGTTGATATGCTGTAAAACCAAACCAATAGGCTTATGATGTTTTGTCTGTAAGAGAGGGGTTTATGGCCACATTATGTTGAAACATCAGTTCTTGTAAGATCAGTGAAGTAATGTCACTCCTTGTCTGTACCTAGGTGGGTGACTGCTTGGAAATACCAAGTGCTGTATGCTTGGATGTGCAGGTGGTGTAATGGATAACAGCTTAGAATTGTTAATTGGGTTTGTTATATTCACTTACATGCAAATACCCTTAGGAAAAGTATGATTCCACCTCTTCTCGCCTGTTAGTTAATTAGTAAGCTTTGCATCAGTAAAACCATTATTATCTCCAAAAATTCTTACAATCTAAAAATATTTTCTGGCTCTAAATAACCTGTAAAGGGTGAATAAGCCATGAGAAGGAGGAAGGAAACAAGCAAGCATTGAACTCTGTCTAAACTTGTAAGATAGGCTTGGTTAGCTCTAACACAGATATATCAATAATACTCTGTTTTTGTCTGATCTGGATTTTGTAAAGATAGAGCATGGTGTGAGGAATCGGACACTTTCTGCTGCAGCACAAGGGTGATGAAGTTTGCGACCACATTCTCCACTCATCTGTCGTTCACTGCACCTGTGGTGATATCCAAGGTTTTTATGCATATACACCTGTCCCACTATATTCACAGATTTGTCTCTTTAGCTGTGATTGAATTCAACAGAGAATAACAACAATTGATTTTCAAGACTCTCTGGTTGGGAAATAGCAACAATGCAAGTTCTCACTTCTTAGCCATCTGTTTTCTTTGGCTGAACTGCTATCTCCTTAACTGCTTGCTGGTCCCTTCCACCTTTCTGACTGTCTGTCTCTTCCTCACTGACTTCTGGTTACTTACTTACTTACTTACTCACTCACTCACTGACTGCAGGACTTCTTTCTCACTGCTTATATGGATAATGGCTGGGGTCACATTCCCCTATCCATCCACTTGTGTTTTGGAAGTTGGAGACCACTTAAAAGACAGATGGGTGGTCAAATCTTTAAAATATTCTACTTTTATGATTATCTAAAATCATTAACAACATTCTGTTTCCCATTTCAAAGGCAGCTGTAGATATAAATCCCCAAAACACTGACACTTAAGTTTACTCAAAATGAGCTGGAGACAAAATTCTTATGAAAGTGAGATAACTAAGTGAACTTTAAAAAAAAAAAGAAAAAGAAATTTATCTACTTATAAAGATGTGTGAGAAATTGTATTGTTACACAAGGAACTGGCATTTTCCAGCCTGTTTAGCAATGAATTGTATATACAAGTTCTACTTGAGATCTGAGGTGAACTTTAGACCCAATAGATGTTCAAGACAAGGCACTTCAACCATTCATCCTGACTGTAGAAGATTCAAGGTCTTCTCCATAATTATAGAATGTCACAAGCTTGGTTTAGAGAATTAGAGACCTTAACAAACAACTTTTGTAATTTATCTCAAATAATCTTTAATATCAATAGTTTTTGATCTGGTTGTCAGAGATTCTTGCTGACAACATCATTCTTTCTCTGAGGTATTTTTTTTTTTTTTTTTAAATCTGTGTGCTTTTTGAAAACTCTCATACTAGATGAAATGTACGCTTTAGGAAGTCTGAAGAATGCATCAGCTGAAAGGTACTGATAAAATCAACAGGGATCAGGATATTAGTCAGAACAACTTTTAGAATATTGAAAACCTCTAGAAACTTTGTTTTTTTCTTACTAGAAGAGGCACTGGCATTGCTTGGTAACTAATTTTGTCCAAATAAAATTTGTATAGAATATTAAAATAACTAAGGTCAGTAACAACACGTTAATTTACTACCAAATGTTGATTTATCTCCCTTCCCACTATATTTCTACATGGGAATAAATATTTAACTTCCATAAGAAGTGGCTTCTTTGACCTTTAATGACCTTCAGTGTTGACCTAGGTTAATTTCATGTAGCATATCTGAATGCTTAGTTTAGTTGGAATCCATCCAGTAGTTTCTTAGTCTTTAGTAGACAGACAGATATTTAATTTTATTTGTATAGATTTATTTTTAACTTTTTTCTGTTGTTTTGAATTTTTTTTTTTTTTTTGTGTGTGTGTATGGGAAATATAAAGGCACCTGCTATTAAAATTATGGTTAAACCACGGATCTCACAAACTATTTAAGATAAAATTGATTCTTACTTTTATCAAGTTAGGTCAAACTTCGTAAATGTCTCTGTCTACACACAAAAAAAGAAAATCTTCCCATTTGTTTATAGATTCAATCAATACAAGAATAAAGGCATTCAATTATTTCTCATAAAAGTTATTGTCTCAATGCTTTTTCAATGGAACATTTATAGCCCAATATAATTTTTGTACAAAGCAGGTTTTGAATTCTGTTATTTCTGTACATGGAAAAAAAAAATTAGCCTTTCTGGGAAATTAAGGATGATCAAGAAACCAGCTGATGAATATAGACTATTATTTTACTGGAATATGTATTTATAAAGTTCGGTCTGACACAAGGCAATAAGAGTATAAGAATCAAACTCATTACATTCTGTGAAGGGGCATAGTCTCCCTTGCCCTACACTGACTCAGGGTGGTAGCACCTGTCCCAGCTAGGGGCAAATAGTGCCCTCCCCCCCACAAACAAAACACCATGGAAGTATAAAAGTACCAGCAATACATTTTTCTATAAAAAAAAAAAAATAACCAACAATACATTTTATCTGTAGTTGAAGCCTTAAAATTGCATTTAAATTATTTAGATTTAAGCATTAAATAACTCATAGAGGTTCATATGCTGCTAAACAAAATCAACCAAAACCAAACCAATCAAAATATTTTGGTAATAAATTCTTTAATTCAAATTTCACAGTCTTTTGTAAAAAATTGAAAATCAAGTCCGCCTTTCACTCATTTTTGTAGGACAGGAAAGAAATAATGACAATAGTTTAAGATGGCTTAAGATTAACAATGGTTTATGTGTTCATGATTGGTTTAATCTTAATTTCGAGCTGAGGTGGATAAGATGACATGGAGCAATTGGGCAGCCATCATGATCACTAGACCTAACACCACCAAACTTTTTCTTGTGGGATTTGCTGAAAGATCTTGTTGACAGTCTCAAACCAAAAATGATTCTTGAATTAAAAGGAGCAGTTTCTGATAGATTTTCTGAAATTAATGTAGAAATGCATCAAAATGGTTTGTAGAAGTGTTGCTGATAGGGTTCAACATTGTTTTGAACATGAAGAGGATCATTTTGAACATATTAATTAGTTTGTTAATCATAACAGATCATGTTGTTTTAATGTGACAATACTTATAAATTTTCTTAATCTACTGTAGTTTATTTTTGTTCAATAAAAGTTAATATAAAAAAGGTGTTACTTTTGCCACACCATGTACATATATTATACTAATGTTCGCTCAATACAATGTCGAAGAGCCACTCAAAGTAGAGGGTTTTTGTATGGTGTTGCATCAGCATAAGAAAAGGCAACAAGTGCAGATCATGAGGTTATGTAGAAAAACCAACACATAACTGTTGACTTGAAAAGGTTAAGATTGTAGTGATTGGGAAAACACCCTCTTGGGAGTCTGATCCACAAAGTAGCTGTTCTTGGGAAGAAGTTGACTGAGTGGAACTTCCTTCTTACTAATGGAATACGAAGGGAATGAGAATATTTCACCCTTTTGTAGTGGGGCCCAGTTGCAACGGTCAGGGCCAATGGCACCAAGGAATGTAGCTCAACAGAACATTTGCCATGGCATTAGTCTGTGGGAAAGGGATTGTAGGGTGGAAAATAATTCATCACCCACAAGGTCGTGTAGATGCTTCTGATGATTTTGTTGAGTTTTTTTTAATTTGGTTATATTGTTGCAGATTGATTTTAATTTGTCCGTGGCATTTTTTTTTTTTTTCATCTAACCCAAAGTAAGGCAATAAAGCCACTAAGAGGCAAGGGGGCCACTAGATGCATATGCTTGTATATGCTTTAAAATGTGTAAATGTAGTGAGTGTGACTTAAAATTAAAATTTCTGCTTATTTTTATTTTAACGTCTCTATTTTTTTATTTTTTTTTTCTTCAGAAGAGGCCAAACAGCATCTTCAGCATCAGGCAGTTGCTGGTGGCTACAATACGGATTACTACAATCAGTATGACGAGAACTATCAAATACAGCAATACCATCAAGAGATACGCAATCACTATGCTCAACAGAATCCCTCCCCTGCAGCAGTGGCCGTCTCTGCAAATACAGTGACACACCAGCAGGCAGTAGTACCATTCACTAATGCAGTACCAGAACACATACATGGCAATACCACTACCACCACCATCTCTACATCTTCATCCCCTGCTGGTTAGTAATTATCCCATCTGAACATCAATTAAATACATTTGTCTCTTCTTTTCAGCCAAGCCTAAGTTATTTTCAAGTCCCCCAGTTTACACCTCTTACCCGTCTTTTGAAAAGGAGTAGAGGTTTATCCTTTCTTTCCTGTTTAGGATTCAGTTTCTGGTTCCTTCTCTAAAGTTTTCTCAACCTCTTTCACCTCCACTAACCTCCTGCGTCTTAGTGGCATTATCACCTTGCTCGAGGTGAAATGATAAATAACAAAATCTAATAACACTAAATGATCATAAAAGGGTACTTACAACTGAATCTGTTCTTTTAACAGAATGGCTTCCACATAATTTTAGGTGTTTTGTGATTAGATTTAGTTTTCAGATTTCCTGTTTTTTTTTTTTTTGTTTCATCAGTAGATGATCAAATTTTAATATATTTAGAATATTTTTTTTTGTTTTATGAATGCCATGTTTTATGAATGCCATGTCCTTCAAAGGTAGTAGAATGGTTTCCTTGTTGCCTTCTCCATGGTTATGAATTCAGCTTTATCCTTCTCTTAGACTGGCTGCCACCAAGGCTAGAGAGCTTGGTTTACCCTGCTATTTAATCCTTTGCTGAGGCAAAACCTGAAATTAATGGAGCTTGGTGGTACTAGATCATGTCACAAAATCTACTGTCTACTTGTTCTTTGAAAGAAATCATGCCTGTAATGATGTCTTAGGCAGTTCTTTTCAATTCATTTTTGAGGATCTGCCAGGTGATGAGATGGACAGGTGGTTTTTATGCATTTTACATAAAAATGCAATAGTTCATGGTTAAAGATTTTTAACTAAATTCTATTGTTTAGACCATAATCTTAAAAATGATGATCTGCAGGCATTTCATCATTTATTTAATAACCCAATTAATTGATATCTATTCACTTAATCTGCTTTTCCTGCATTTGCAATGTTTTGTGATGGTGACTAATGTATGTTCAATGTTTTATTGTACATTTTGTCAGTGTTATTATATAAAAAAAATATATATATATATATATATATATATATATATATATATATATATATATAGGATTAGCTGCACTATATTGTGTCTAATTATTTAGTTTCCCCCTTTGACACGAGGCATGCTGGCCCAATGTTATAATGCTTGCATTGTATTGCAACAGTCTGGGTTCAATTATGAGTAGTGGATGCCTACTGCTGATGAGTCCCCCAAATAAGACAAAACAGTGCTTTTCTGCATTCTGTTAAGGTTTCTAGGTCTAGATATAATGAATTATTATGAAATATGTATCATGGACTCTCTCATCATAGATTGACACTGGCCATTGTCTCACACATACCAGGGATCCTAAACATAGCTAGGTGGCAGAAGGAAGTGAGAACTCCCTACTGGACCACCTTCACTACAATACCTCACCTTACGATGTATGAGGGTCAGGCCACTCAGTTTCTAGGAACTAACAGCCAGACAACCTGCACATATGATTTGATTATAGTGGTGAAAGTTTTGTGCAGAACCATCCACAGATATTGAAGGGCCGAATATAGAGACCTGGTGCATTGTGTGCCACAAAGGTCCCCAAATGACCCTCCTCAGGTTTTGAATTCCTGGGTGTAGATTAATATTTGGGTAATTTTCTATGGCGGCACTCTCCAGAATTTTCCTTCTGAGTGAGTTATTTTCTTTTTTAACTGATCACTTCCCCCCATTTCACCTTTCTTAACAAAATTAATGCTCTTACAAACAAATATATACAACAGATTCATAAAATCAAAAGAAAATGGTTGAATACATCAACACAGATATAATGACAATATTTTCCACACGTGACAAATACTGACGTTATTTTCCGTTAAAAATATGAAAATAGCGTTTCTCTACATTCCAGTTGCTAGGTACATTCTGTTTTTGCTTTTATTAGTTACTTTGTTCATTTCATTTCATTTTTGTATTTTGCTTTGATAAAGTCCACATTGGATGAAACGCGTCAGCAATTACCAGTTTTCCTATTGTCATTTTTATTCATAAATGTCTTCTCTACTGGTTAAATCAGAGAAATTTTCATATCTCTCTCTCTCTATATATATATATATATATATATATATATATAATATATATAATATTTTAGTCGGTGTTATTGATGATCATTAACCTGTACATTTTGTGGAGATGCTTCCCAATTTTTGTAATTTTCTCTCTCAGTAATACTTTGTTAGCCACACTCCTTGTATGAATAAAATCTGATCTATGGGATTGGGCTGAAACGTTTATAAGCTATGAAGGAGTGATGCTAGAGCTGTGAAACCTTGCAAGCATTAATTTCAACTCTTCTTGTTAATAACTCCATTGATTCTTTCCAGGTAAATGAACACCTGACTGTTCAAAGAAGACTTGAGACGTAACTACCAGTGACTTCTCTTGAAAAAGGACAAAATCTGGCATTGTGGTATTAAGTACCTGCATAAAAACACATTCCTACTGACATGGTTGCTACATTAGAGGGTGATGTTCTAACTTTATCAACAATGTAAAAGTGGGCAGCTGAATTTAGGTGGGGAATGGAGAGTCTTGAAGACAACCCAAGGTCTGGACATCCTGCAACAATGCCAATGCTATAAAGAGTTTAAAATATTCTGCACAATGAATTTAGCATAACAAAGATTTCTGCTCAGTGGGTTAAACGTCTTCTGACACGCGCAGCAGGCTGATCACATCATGGGAAAATCTATTTTTTGAGGCAGGTCCTGCTAGTTTAGTTGAATCTTTCATAACTCAGGATAAGTGTTGTGTTCATCACTTTGAACCAGAGACAAACCATTCAATGGAAACATCTTACCTCACCCGCTCAAAGAAGGCCAAAGTTGTTTCATCTGCATGGAAGATGATGGCATCAGTTTTTTGGGATGCAAAAAGCATTGTGCTGATTGACTATCTTCAAAAGGGCCACACCATCAGTGGAGAGTACTATGCCAACTTGCTGAAGCAGTTTCAAAAGGCTATCAAGGCCAGACATCCAGGAAAACTAATGAAAGGGATTTGTTTCATCAGGACAATGCTCCAGCACATAAATCCTTGGTTTCAATAGTTGCTGTGCATGACTGGCTTTGAACTAGTCAATCAACTTCCCTATTCTCCTGATTTGACTATCTTGTTCCCTAACTGGAAAAAAAAAAACACTTGACTGAGAAACAGTATCTGATTGATAATGACGTCATATCTGCTGATGACTTTTTTTTTTTTACCAACAGTCTTCTTTGAACAGTCAGTTGTCAGTTTACATGGAAAGAAACAATGCAGTTATTAATAAGAAGAGTTTAAATTAATGCATGCAAGATTTCACAGCTCGATCATCACTCCTTCATAGTCAACCTATGGATTTTCCAGGCTGTTCTCATAAAAAATGACTAAAAGGATTTTTATTAGTACTAACCAGAACATTAGTCATATCTTTTCAGCAATCTTTAAAAAAAACATGTCAATATTCTTTTTCAGTTAATATTTTTTATTAAAAATAACATTTTTTAGTTAAACCTACTAAAAAATGTTATTTTTCCCCGTCTGTAATATTTGACTGAACTACAATGGCATTCAAAATTTTTGGACATTAAAAATGTTATGCCTTTTCTTGTTTTAAGTAATATTTTACCCAGTGTTGTGTTAATAATTTTTACAACAGTTATATAATAACTAAAAAAAAGCAGTTTTCTTCAAAACTGACCTCTTTTTGGGCTGTTAATTGGATTTTCACATGACAGATCCTCAAAAATGCATGAAAACATATTCAAGGGATTAATATCTTTTTTTTAAAAAAAAAAAAAAATCTAGCCGTTATATTCTAAAGCAAAAAAGTTTTTTGTACCGCCAACGTCTGATATTAATAAAACTGTCCTTATTGTACACATCCATGTCTTTGGTAAGACGATAAACTACATCCAGCAGCAAGGCCTCTGATCAGGAGGTTTTGAGGAGCATGGAACTACCTCTTAATTGCTGGTGTTCCCAGGTCCACCCTGACCTGGGGGTAAATATAGTTAGCCCCCAAACTGGGGTTAAAATACTATGTAAGTGTAAAAATAGGTTTTACTACCAGAAATACTTTGTAAAAAAAAAAAAAAATCATTACCTGCAATACATGTTTAAAAAAAAAAAAAGATATTACCATCTATACATTTTTGAAGGAAAAAGTATTACCAGAAATAAAAATTGTCGGCATTAAATAACCCATTGAGGTTGATATGCCGTAAACCAAACCTTACTGTACAGCCTGTAGATAATCTTACCAAAACAGACACAGGAGGGAGGAGTTGATTAAATTAAGGAGTTTGATGATGCACGAATTGAAATACAATTTTGAATTACCTTAAAAACTGTTAAAATTTAGAAATAAATTCAGTGTGAAAAGGATTAAACATTCTTTGTTTATGATTACTAAGTTTTTCTATCTTTGCTCACAATTCTATTTTTACGTTATATTTATATCTATGCTTATAAACAAGCAGGCACCAATCTGTCAAGGCTGAACACAAGAAATAAAATAGTCTTAATGTTTCAGCACAAATTATTTGACAAGACCTATTGAGCTTGTAAAAGATTAAAAATGTCTAATATATCAAAAGGAACTAACAAGGGATTTATAAAGAAGATATAATACATATCTAATACAAAGGGGTGTTGAAAATTTATCAGCACAATCAAGAAACTTAACATCATTTACAGTATTTACATTAGACACATGGACACAGTGGATAAAGGCGTTGGTTAGATCCAGTGACAGACCCAAAGAAGGTGAGTTCAATTCCTGGTTAAGGCAGTGGAGAACTTTCAGAGGGAAAATTAGCAGGAGATAACTGATAACTGACATCCATCAAACATGGCACGTGGAATTAGAACAGTCTACCCCAGCGATCGAAATAAAGGGTTCAGTTAAAATTCCAACCACCTGAAGAAGGCTTAGGCGGGCGCATAAACGGCTCTAACGTTTGTGACAAATATGGCGACAAAAGATGAGGACAATAGTCCGACTAATGTAAATACTGTACATGATACCTCATCTCAGAAATATAGACAAACTCTTAACATCATTTACATAAAATGATAAATGGGATAGTTGACAGAAAGAGAGAGAGACACCCATAGACTAATACATAGACATACACACAAATACATTGAAAATGGTTAGAAATTTTGACTTAGAATTACACTACCATGCATTTATGTAGAATAATTGAGCCTGATTTTGAAGAAAATTATCTGATAACGCTGTTCTGACAAATAACAATAAAATTAGGTTTTATACATATTTCATAGCCTTTTTTTTAATCAGGTGTCAAAAACCCACAAAAATAGGGGATATCTATATTTAGGACAGATTTTAGTTAGATGCTAAAATTCTTCTTAGACCCTAAATTATATATAGTAAGTTTTGTTAAAACAAATGTCATGAGCCAGAACAGGCTCATTGCCAAGGGGTTTCACATAGTGAATTTGGCATGAGTTTTGAAATCATGTTTTTGTAGGCGGAAATGTTGTTCTACAAGTAATAATCTTTCATGGAGAGCCAACTTAATTCAATTGCAATAATTATTAATTCTGTAGTGCAAAGGCCATTCAGATTTTCTCACATATTAAATTTTGTTATGACTTCTACAGTTAGTCATGGTAGATTTTGAAAATAGAATTAGTGACTGAGCTAGTGAATGAATTGGTGTGTCTAATGTAGTTACAGCATAAGCTTCTTGTTGTTACATGTTTGGGAAAATCCTGTTCTTTTTGTTTTTGGTTTATTACGGATTACCTTATCCTCTGAAATGTGGTTACTACCTATAATTTCCTTTATGTTCTTAGGTCTACAATATGCTAGAAGGCCGGGTTCCTCAAACAATTTTTTTAGATCTCGTTTGAGATGTAGTATTTTCCAGTGACTTTTGATTATCTGGGAGATTGGGGTTGAAAGTGGTTATTAGAAGTATGTGGCTGGGTTTATTTTTAATCTTGTACATTAGGGTGTCTTCTCTAGGTGTGGAAATTGCTTTATTTATTTGTTCCCTGATTAGGTGTTCTTTATAGCCCCGTGTTGTGAATTGATGCTTGAGATTTTGAATGTGTTTTAGTTCTTCATTGTTGGAACATATCCTTCTAAGTGCTTGTGAATAGGGAAAATTCTCCTCAAGGTGTTTAGGGGGGGAAAACTTAAAGTGTAGATAGTTGTGGGTGTCTGTGATTTTAGTGTGTAGTGTCGTTTGTATTTTTCTGGCTAGCAAGATTGAATTACTGCTTTGAACTTGCTAACCAGATGCTTCCTCTGTAGCTAAATGTTATTGCACATTAGGCTATATGACAGTTCCGTGTGGCATACAGTTTTGATTCCTGTCAGAGGACACACATTTTCTATGAAATTTCTTGGACATTCAGGCTGGTAAATGTTGTTAATACTGTTTATTATAAACAGAGCATTTACTTATATATATATATAACGAAGTTTCTTCAGCATGAAATAATGGCTAGAAAGGCTAGTCTAGATGTCCCAAACAAAAATTTGACACTAAATAACCCAACAAGGTTTTGACATATCATAAAATCAATCACATTCTAAACAGACCTGAATTATTTATTGTTTCAGGAAGTATTGTGGTGAATAAACTTCATTAAACTTGTTTTTATTATAATGGCAATGTTTTAAAAATAAGCAAGAAGATCGAATAATTTTCTGTTAAAATTATTAGAGGCCCTTTATTATTTTCCTTTTGTATTTTTCAGCTTACTCAAATGCTTATGTGAATCAGCAGGAGGAACTTCCTTTGCCACCAGGCTGGTCACTAGACTGGACAGTGCGAGGCCGCAAGTATTACATTGATCACAATACTCAGACTACTCACTGGAGTCATCCTTTCGAGAAGGAAAGTCTTCCTATGGGCTGGGAAAGAATTGAATCAAAGGAATATGGTGTTGTCTATGTCAAGTAAGAACCCAATTTACGCTTCTTTATTCTAATCATTCATTGAAGTGTAGAAAGAGCTACAGAGATAATTAAGGAATTTGAATAGGTTCCTTAAATTATCCAACATTTCTCATGTCTCACCAGATATTTGATAGATCTGAAAATCACTCCGCCAGGAAATTTTTTTTTTTAAATAAATTCTCTTCTTTCATTGTGGAAATCATTTTTTGCTTTAATCATTCACACTCTGCAATTATTCTTAAGTATTACTTCCTCTTTTTTTTTTTTTTCAAGGCAACTCTAGAATTCTCTAACACTCAGCAACCCCCTTGCATCCTAGTGGATTTATTGCCTTGCTTAGGGTAAAATGATTAAAAAAAAAAAAAAAAACTCAACTGCTGTCACCTTGTTGTTGCTTTTGGTTCAAGATGATCAATGATTTGGACAAACAAAATGTTCTATTTTTTCTTTTACCCAATACAAGACCTAAAAGCCACTCAAGGTAGATGCTTACTGATATTGATGAATGTAAGAAGATGAGGTAAGAAGTGCAGTTTATGAAGATGTTTAGAATAGATAACGGTTAACACAAGACTTGAAAAGATTAAGATCCTAGTGATTGGGGAAGCATCCTCTTGGGAGTCTGTTCTGTGGAGAAGCTGTTCAAAAAGAGCTTCCTTCTTATTAATAAAATATGAGGGGAATTGAAATAATTCATTCTCCTTTCTGTGGCATCATGGATCTTAGCTGGAAATATTACTAGGTATTTAACTAAATTTCTAACTCCAATCCTAGGCACCATAAGTAACGCACATATAAAGAATTCAGGCTCTCTTCTAAATAAGTTGAGTGATATTGATATAGGTAACAAATCCCTAGCTAGCTTAGACATTAAATCTTTATTTACCAATATACCTATTGATAAATGTATTAAACGATTAGAGAACCACCTTAAGAAAATTGATTTTAAGCTACCTAACACTATTTCGAAATGCATCAAGTTATGCATCCTATGCACTTCACATTGTTTCTTCCAGTATAATAATATTTATTATAAACAAAAATTTGGTTTACCAATGGGGAGTCCTCTCTCTGGATTCCTAGCATGCATATTTCTAGAATTTCTTGAACCTGGTCCTTTTAAACATGTCATTCCGCATGATACACATTACTTCCAATACATCGATGACATTTTATTTATCTACCCACATAAACATGATTTAAACGAGATTACTGATAGATTAAATAAAATAGAACCTACTATAGAATTTACCTATGAACTTGAATCTAATAATTCTTTACCTTTTTTAGACATACTACTTATTAAAAATAAAAATATAAATAAATTAGAATTTAAAGTATATCGAAACCCACATGTAAAAATGACTATTTACATTTTTACTCTCACCATGATACTAACACTAAGAGGGGTATTATTATTGGATTCTACTTAAGGGCTCTTCGCATCTGTTCAGCAAAATATTTAGATGATGAATTCAGATATATTGAGGATACCTTTTCAAATCTTTCGCATCCGAGACAATTATTACTGAGAGCTAAAAATGAAGCATTGAAAATTCACTCATCAGCGCAAAATGACACCTTGAAGTCCACTACAACTACATCAGTGAAAGGGTCACTTTCAGCTGCCCCTGGTAATAATTCTTTTGGTCGCATCTTTCTACCAAATAACCATTTGACCGAACGTATCTCTAATAATTTAAATGCATTAAAAATTAAAACTACAATATTACCTACTAGAACTATCCGTAGTTTATTAAATAGCACCAGCAAACAACATATTACATCCGATGCTTGCATCTACCAAATCTCATGCAAAGACTGTCACTTAAAATATGTGGGTGAAACATGTAGGTCTGTAAAATCTCGTGTTTTCGAACATAAACGAGATATTCGCCTCGGAAATTTAAATAATGCTATAGTTGTACACACAACTAAAGCAGATCATAATTTCGATTTTGGTTCCGTGAAGATTTTAAAATATTTTCATAATAAAAATCTTAGGCGAATTTATGAAGCAGGCATAATATCCATCTCACGCACGGTGAATACTAGACCTGGTTTCTTTAGTATTTCCCCTTTTCTAGCGAGATTAATGCTCGACAAGCGTACATATAAATTTTAGTTCAAAATAGAATTCTTTTCATTTTTCATTCAAAATACTCAAATTTTAGGAATACGTTTTCCCAGCGTCGCCCACGTGACGACAACATGAACATGTTTTAAACGGAGCGCTGATCTTATAAAACTTTCAGTTATTTGTTTGGATAAGTCTTGTTCTTATGTACATCGTCTTTGTCATGTTGTATTGATAATGTTATAATTTATGAATATGTCCTGAAGATGGTTTATTAGACCGAAACGTCCGACATTGACATATTAACATTAAAACAGCATAATTGTATATAAGGATTTTTGTTTGTTTTTTCTGTATATATTTTTCTTCATATATATATATACACATTTGTTGTAAAAGTAAGCAACAATACCTATTTGTCGTGAAATTGCCAGTAATACATTTTATAGTTGAATTACCAACAATACATTATCTGTAGTTGAAGACATCTGATTGCATTCAAGATATCTTTAGTTGAAGCCATAAAATTGTGTTCAAAATATTTATATTTTGGCATCAGCTAACCCATAGAGCTGTTGATATGCCAGTAAACAAAATTAGCCACCCAAGAGAAACCTGGAAAATGCAGAGAAATCCCTTTTTTTTTTTTTAGTGCTGATAGATTTTCACAAGAGCAAATAATTTTTTCCTCTTTACTTCATATGCTATATTTGTATTACTTTTTTAAAATAATTTATTCTATCTGAATTTCAGCTACATTCTGAAACTTTCTCAGTATAATCATCCATGCGCTCCTGTCATACCACAACAGCAGAACATTGTGTTTGCACCACAAGAACTGATGATGCCTAAACAGATTGAATACAGACAGTCTAACCTACTGGTACCAGCAAATCCTTATCTGCATGAAGGTAAGACTTCTCTCTGTCTCATCTCCTTTCAGGATATGGATTGTTATGATTCTCCACAGCTTCCTGTCTTTTGTGACTCTCTGCAATACTTTGTCATGTATAGCCTCTCTTTGTCATACCTCTCCCTCCATCCTCTATTTACTCAAATTTGTCAAGTAAGTTCTCTCTTTGTATCATGTTCCTTCATACATGGACGTCCATGGTTCTCCACAGCTTCTTGTCCTTTGTTACTCTCTGCAATACTTGATACCTTATGATTCTTCTTTGTCTTTGTGGAACTTGTTTAATGATCTGTTTACTCAAACTTATTAAGTAGTTTATTTCTTTTTTTTCATGTTTCCCTTAATTTTGCTTTCTCCTGTGAGTATTAAATTCTCCCAAACTTCTTCCCTTATGCTGTTCCCATAAATTTTAGCTGTCACTTTCTTGTCAGCAATTTCTTTGTAGTTCCTATTCTCCTTACCTTTTTCTTTGTATTTAAACCATGATCTTCAAGCTCTCCACGGCTTCCTTTTTTTATTTTAATATCTATAAATTATGAACTGCCATGACTGTTCTTGGGGAAAAATAATAAATTGGTTTCTTGTTGCTTTCTCTTTAATTACAAATTCAGAGTTATCCTATTAGACTAATCACCCCTCCCAAGGTTAGAGTGCTCAGACTACACTATGATTTTACTTCTAGCTAAAGGGAGAAAACCTAGTATCATGCCTTTTGCAATAGTATTGGTGTGAAGTGAATGCAACAGCTTCATTCACAATTTGAATTCTGTTTGAAGATTCAGTTTTTCATACCAATAACCATTATGTCACTCGTACATCCCTCTCCTTACCTTACTCCAAAATAATCCTTCAGATAAAAATCATGTTGGTCTTCATACAATGGCTTGTTGTTGAGTATTCTCAGTGCATGTATGCAGACAGATTTCTTCATTTGTTCTTAGATTAGATTGTAAAGCTTAAATTTGTCTACTTGGTGTGTACTTGGACTCAGTGGAAACAGGCTGAGCAATAACTGAGCAGTACTAAAAATAAGAACTAGAAGAGATATATACCAAGACATGAGTATACTACTGTAGATTAAATAAAGAGTTCCATTCAGAATTCCATGTAGGTTACCTGAATCGACCTGATGAAGGCCAGAGAGTACAAGAGCTGAAACATGATAACAACACAAAGACGAGGATAATAATCAGTATGTAAATAGTGTAAATAATGATCACTCCTCCTCCCAGAAATTCAGGCAGTTATTAAATTTGTCTGATGAAATTGATTCCGACAAGGTATCTCGACTTCAGTCACTTTCTCACCAATGTGATGTAGCTTCCCTCTGTCTTTTCTACAAATATTTTTATGGCAACTGCTCTGATGAGCTTTTTTCCCTGGTGCCCTGACTACATGAACTTAAGCATGCTACGAGATTTGCAACTAGGCCTCACCATTTTACTGTTGAACTATCTAGATACAACTGCCACTTCTAACATGTTTCTTTTCTCAAACTTCCCACCTGTGGAACTCCATTCTAATTTTTTGCTTCCCTAACAATTACAATCTTCAAAAATTTAAATACAATGTTGATTGCCATCTTCTTGAACCTTTTTCTTTTTTTGACCTTTCCTCAATCCTTCTCTTCTCTTTCACTTCCTGTAACTTCCTGCATTCTAGTGGCATTATTGCCTTGCCTGGGGTGAAATGATTTAAAAAAATTAAAATTTCCTAAAATTTTATTTAAAAAAAATTGTACTTAGCCTGAGTAACATTACGCAACCATTGATAGCTTCTGAATAGTTTTGTAAACCCACTTACGCTCACAAGTTTCAAGTCAACCCTAACAATGTTTTTCCCAACAGTGCTGCATGCTTGGATTGTCTCTCCAGGCCGATATTATCAAGAAGGCAATTTCTTCACGAATCAACAATGGTGGGATTCAAACCATGGTCTCATGATCAGACCAATAACATTCTAACCACTCAACCATTATTTAATAAAATTTCAAAATATTTGTAGGCATTCACTAATCTCAAAAGACTATGGAATCAACTACGATGACTAGCTAATCCCTATTGCAGACACCTGCTCAAGCACATTTATGTTTGTTCAACAGCCATACAACTAACGATGCTGAGCAGACGTTAGTTACAGTTTCTGGGAGGCATAATCTTGCATATTCAGTAATTGAACAAGGCCAGTAAACATGAGTCTTCAGTCACAATTACTTGTGATTTTATGCTAGCACAACCATTGATAGCTGCCAAACAGTTATTTTTTACCCACTTACATTCACAAGATTTGGTTCAAACCTAAAGATGATTTTCAAATGGTTAGATGTAACTGTAAGTTCTATGGTAACAGTTTCATCTCTCACACTTCTCACTTGTGGAACTCTCTTCTGGCTTGTTAATTCCTGTTCTGTAAAAGGCTATAGAATAGTTGACATGTATAAAGAACAATAGAAGGCTATAGGGCCCAGTCTGGGAAGGAGAAGAGATGGGTTTCCTAATGGCATTTGTGCCCAGTGTTTTATTTTTTTTCTCACACTCAGTAACTCCTTACACCTTAGTGGCTTTATTGCCTTGGTTGGGATTAAATGATTAATATATAATGTGTGTGTGTGTGTGTGTACTGAAAATTGGATAGAAAGGGATTGTCAGTGGTCAGGAAGCATTAATGATGGACCTAATGTGTGTTTGTGGCATTTGTCAGTTTCAAGAGACCATGAATCTGCATAGAGAGTTAAGCTTTATATAAACTGACATACGTCTTCCTTTTCGAAAATCTATTACAAACTGAAACTATGTCTTCCTTTCTGTTAGTTTATTATGATTTGTGTCCTATTAAGACTTTAACATTAAATGATTTTAACAATGGTTAATAAATCATTAAATTAATCAGTCTAACCTCACTGAGGAGGGTCAAAGAACACAGCATCTGAAATATTGTGGTTAAAACAGCAAAGATAAAGATAACTTATTCGCCACTATTTTTCTTTGACTAGTGTCCTTGTTGTTATTGTCCCAACATTTCAGCCACTGTATGCTCAGGCCTTCTTCAGTTGTGATAACAACCAAGATGAGGACACTCATCTAAGTAAATCAGTGCATCATAAAAACAAAAGAATTAAGCTATTTGTCAGAATGATTGATAGAATAATGAAAAAGAAAAAAAAAACTGAAACAGTCAAATTATTTTTAATATTTTATTTTTCTCTAAACAATTGTCTTTTGTTCGATCCTTCTGTTATTGTGTTTTGTACTTTCATTTTGAAGATTTTTTTTTTTAAATTTCATTTTACCCTGTCTTTTTTAGAAATTCCCGAATGGCTGTATGTTTATTACAAAGCAAACCAGGACCATGATCACAAGCTGAAGGTAAAAGTGAATTTAATTTGCAAAATTAACGAGTATTTCAAGAGTTGCTTGGATTATTGAACTCATTCTTTATTTTGCTTTGTTTGCTATCACTGTGTTTTGGCTTATTGTAGAATTACCCAACCTTGTTGGATAAGGAACTCCTCTTAATGTCCACTAGGTGGCATGTATAAAGCAGTCTGAAAGGAAAAGACAGTCTCTTTCTCTTTTTGTCTACTTCAACTCCAAGATGCTATAGTGACAAGATGGATTTATTTAACTGCCTAGGAGATTTCTTTCCTCAGGCCAACTAAATAGTTTCAATTGAATCACATAGCATTCTCCCTCCCTCCCTCCCTCACTTACTTACACACACACTCTCACACACTCTCTCTACATCTAAGCACATAAATATATAGTTCTATCATTTATTTAAGTATTTTGTTCAGCGTATAAATATATATGTAAAAACCACATATGTGCTGAAATCATTTATTTTGAAAATGTTGAGCTATTCAACTGAATGTCATTACAATTTGTAACACCTCACCTTTTACAAGCTGATTCATTCTACAACTTTTTGGAGACAGTCCATCAGGAATTGGATCTCTCTTCTTTAGAAACAGAAAAGTAATAATGAATGGGTTCAGCCATCCAGACAACTTCTGGAAGAATAGTGACTCTTAAATTAATAGATGTTATCAGCAAGTTTAATTCAACAATGATATTTTCAAAATATACTTACTTTTTTCATACCAAAAGGTTTTATTTATTTACTTATTATTTCACAAAACCAAAACTTAAAACTGTGTCTGGGTTTAAAACTTTTTTTTCTCATTCATTTGGTGCATTAATTTTCTCACAACGTTTTGGTGACAAAACCAGATACGTGAATTAAAGATTAACTGCAACTTAATAACATTGATTGAATTGTACTTAAGAGTTAATATAAATAATGATGAATATACAGTTATAAGGTTTCTCCCTTGAAAGCCTGGGATTGTCTCTTAAGATATTGAGGGAAATAGTTACTACAATAAAGGTCTGTTTTCTTTTTCCCTCCAGTGAATGCAAATTTGGTTACAAGCAATTTGGCATTTACTTGCCTGAAAAATTAAAATGCTTCCAACTCACTCAAAAAGAAAATTTAAAAAAAAAAAAAAGTGATAAAAATTTTTACTTAAAAGAAATAACTTACAGTCATCGGTTAAATATCTGGGTGGGCTTCATATCTTAATGATTTCCTTTTATTTTTTATTTTTTTCTCCCTTTACTTTTTTTTTCCTTTTACTCGTTTTTTTTTTTTTCCTTTTTTCTGCTTTCTTTTTTCCTTTTTTCTGTTTTCTTTTTTCCTTTTTTTTCCATTTCCCTTTTTATTTTATTTTTTCCTTTTTATTTTTCTCTTTTCTTTTTACCTTTTCCCTTTTTATTTTTTATTTTTTCCTTTTTCCTTTTTATTTTTTCCTTTTTATTTTTTCCTTTTTTCCTTTTTATTTTTTCCTTTTCCTTTTTTCCTTTTTATTTTTTCCTTTATATTTTTTCCTTCTTCTTCTTCTACTTTTTTCCTTTGCCCCTTTTTCTTGTTTTCCATTTTCTTTTTTTTCATGTTTTCTCCAAGGTATTAAAAAAAATTCTCTTTTAAAATTAAAACAAGTTTTCAACAATTAGCATCTTGTTGATAATCAGCATGTGAAATATTTATAAAGCCAAATCTTGTCTCTTTTTCTTTCTTTTTTTTGCCTTTTAATTATCTCAATAATTTTGCCATATTGGAATGATTAGCACTTGTAAATAATTATGACCTGAAATTTATTGAAAATAAATGTTCAGCAATATTTTCATTTGAAATTTTCCACTTAACATTGATTCTAAAAAAATTTCTCTGGCTCATTGAATTTTGTTTTTCCCATTTTTATTAAATTTGAAAAAATTAAATCTTTTCCATTTTATGAAATCAGTATTATGTCAATCTTCAATTCATTTTATAAAATTATTGTCATTGTCTCAAAAAGTTTTTCCATAACACTTTCTAATTTGACATTTGTCACATTTTCTCTTTTTGACATTTGTCACATTTTCTCTTTTTGACATTAAAGTATTGCTGCCATATCTGGGCTGAAGCATCACAGTCCTCACTTGCCTGTCTTGATAGTTCAAAAAGCATTTATTCCTATCTTGTGGGTGATGGATTATTTTCCACCCTACAACCCCTTTCCCCACAGATGAAATGTCGCAAGCCTCTCGCTGCTCTATCATTCTTTCCATAACATGTTTTCTGATATGCTACATTCCTTAGTCCCACCACCCTTGACCATTACAACTGGGATCCCCCATGCCACATACACATTAGTGAATCATCCCCATTTCTTTTGTATTCTGTTAATAAGAAATAAGTTCTATTCAGACAGATTCTTCCCAAGAACTGCTTCTTTGTGAACAGACTCCTTCCAAATAACTATAATCTTGAGCTCTTCAAGCCATTATCTTTCCTGCATAGCCGTCAGGAACTTCACTTCTTTCTTGCATGGCTCCATGAACTTTGCTTTTTTCCTTTTCTTACATTCACACAACACCACATGGTAACGCTCTACCTTGAGTGGCTCTTGTTGGCTTTTTTGAAAAATAAAACCTGTTTTTTTTTTTTGTTTTTTTTTTGTTTTTTTTGTAAGGGCCAAAGATTTTCAGGCAAATTGTCATTATTTTTAAATTTTGGTGGCTATATAACACTAATTTGCTTACAGGTGTGTTAGTGCCCAACCACCTATAAGTGACTCTTAATAATACATTGGGGGAAATACCATTACAATGGTGATCATCTTCTTTTTTCTCTTTCTTATTTTTTTTTTTTTTTTTCTGCTTTGTCAGTGGCCTTTCTTTCGTCTGGGAGAACTGGAATACTTTGATGCCCTCCTTACTCGTTTATACAAGCAAGAAGTGCAGAAGATTGTTATGATCTATGAATACCAGCGAATGCAGATTCTAAAGGAGATGGACAGGCGACAAAAGGAACGAGCATTGCACAAGATGGAGACCAAAATCTGAAGAAATTGTCCAGAGGAAAGTCTGTTTTGTTTTTGATTTTTTTTTTTTTTTTTTTTTTCCATTCTTCAGTTAATCTTGCATTGTAAAAAGGTTTCTTTGTTTCAATTCTGATTCCTTTTTTCCGCATTATAAAAGATAAATATAAAATACCCTCGCTAATTTTATTTTAAAAACTGAATCAGAAATGCCTTCTGGCAGCAGGCAAACAACTTGATTGTAAATGTCTCCTGTATTTACTAATATAACCAACTTTTATACAAGTCTGTATATGAAATTAGAAATACCAAAGTTTGCCATCATGTCCTATCAATATTATAAACTATCTGGACACCTTAGAAATTCTACAGTTGACACTTGATATGTCTTTATATTTTAAGGGGATAAATTTTTTTTTTTTTTTTTTTTTTTTTTTTTTTTTTGGAGGGGTGGGGATAAATTTTAAAGAGGGGATTGCAAGCATCCTTTAAATACAGTCATATACTACATATTGAGTTATAATTTTTAAATTAAGTTTTTATGACATCTAATTCCTTTAATCATGTAGAGTGGGACCCATGGAAATTCCATGGCTTTTGTTAATTACTGAAACTAAACATTTCAGGCTGGCATATTTCATATTACTCTGCCATTTCATTGAATCAGATGTTAAACACATTAGGCTGTTGTCGCTTTCTCTATCTTCCTTTTTTTGTCTTCCTAGAAACACATATATGCATCTTCAATGCACCCCAGAAGGAGGCTTACTGAAAGTTTAAATGAAAAAAAAGGAAGAAGTTAGAAGGGCTGCATTACCAAGAATTTGAAGGCAGGGGACAGGCAAGCTATTGCAGGGTGTAATGTACATGCTAATAAAGGAACAGTAGTACAGTGCCTGTAGTTTTGTAAAAAGTGACAAAAGAACATTCTTGTTCTCTATGCTTGTCAAGATAAAAATAGTGATGATCTTTCAAACTACATGATGCATTTAAGTGTCAGTATGCCAGAAAATTCTGTACTTGCATCTTTTACAATGATGAAAATTCATCAGAAATATTTGTAGAAACCCTTTTGCAATATGACATAAACTAAAAGATAACTACTTTAAAAAGAGAAAAAAAAAACAAAACTTGTCTATGATTTTGACATCATGGACTGAAATAATATTCAAAAGTATTATTTATTAACTGCATTAATCCCTTTTTATTCTTAGGGATTAAATTTATCGGTTTTTTTTTTTTTTTCCTCTCTTTATTATTCTGGTGATAATAAGAGCTGAAGAATTTTTGATTTTTTTCTATTCTGTTGCTGATAGTTGAGCAAACAAAAAAAAGAAAAAAAATTGACTTCTTTTATCCTCCCCCACTCTCTTCCCACATTTTTAATGTGTGTTGATATTAGAAAATTTTTAAGCATGAGTGATTGTGTCTGTGAATGATTTATGTTAATTGTATCCACCCTATATACACACACACACACACCGAAGTGCATGCAATAATATATATATATATATATATATATATATATATATATATTTTGGGTGAATGTATTTTCACCCTGTGTATCCAGGTGACAAGATTAAAAAGAAAGTTGTTTCTTTGTTACCAACAAGCCCTATTTGAAACATAAGGTCCAAAGGAATCTTAAAACTATTTTAATTTTTTAGTTGCTCAATTTTCCTTTGGTTACAAGAACTTAAATTAGCAATAAATATATATATATATATATATATATATATATATATATATATATATATATATATATATAAACGGATATAATATATCTACATACATTGAGTGCTGGTGTTAATAAAATAGTGCTCGATCTTGTATAACATATATATATATATATATATATATATAAAATATATATGTATAGTAAAGGTAATAAATCCATTGGTACATAATCTAGTAATATAGAATATTAAAACTGATCCACAAAAAGAGCTCAATGTATTTATTATTACAGAGCAAATAATTAGTACACAATAAAATCCAAAATTATCTCATATGAGGAATAGGCTTATTTCAATTGACAAAAAATTTGTCACTCTTATTCAACCCTAGTATAGGCTGAGTTTGTGTCAGAATTAGAAATTTAACTCTGACAGCTACAAAAAAAAATGGTGAAAAACTAATACAAAATTTATTCATTTCAATGTTTCAGTCAGACGAAAGGCACAAGACAGTGGTCAGGGGAGGGTGAAAGGTATTAGTCTTACAGGGAAGAGATTTTACAAAATTAAACCCATATATTAACCTTATGATATATAGTTTTAAGATGTAATGTATTTATGGGGTGAAAGTACTCAATATTGAGGAGAGAGTGTATGTGAATACAAGCAGTGTGGATACAGAAGTCAACACTGAAAGGTGACAGTAATAAAAGTAATTGAAAAATTAGCAAACAACTCTATACAATTGCTATAAAATAACTGCTTTCATGCCAATATCTAGTTTTATTGAAGAGCTGTTGGAATAATTTAAAATAACCGTTATTGCCTATTCAATAGCAGTCAGAATAACATAATAAATTGGAAATAACTGACATTACTACTCCTAATGCCCAACGACTAATATATATAGTTAAGCTACTATCCAATTATATGGCTTGAAGATTGTGTTCAAGCATGAAACAGACTGTTGCCATCCAGCATTGATGTGTCTACACTACTGATTTTATATATATATATATATATATATATAATCATTTATTCAAAAATTATAACATAAAAAATGTTATAAAATCACTACAAAAATAGCCATTTTGTTTCAACACTTCTAGTGTCTTATCAAGTGAGGTGTTGTGTGTGTGTGTATATATGTGTGTATATATATATATAACTATTCTTAGCCAATACATTTTGTCCTCTGAGGGGCTGTATCAAAACAAATGTAGGATTTATTTTGTTGCTGGGTTTATATACAAAAGCAAGGATGTCATTGGTTTGTCAAGACTTTTAAATTTGAGAATGTTCATGAATATTCATCAGGTGGTTGAAAGGTCAGTCAAATTATATGGAGGGCACAAAGTACCATAATTCATAGTCTGGTAAGGCAAAAGTAAACAAGTAATATTCAAGAAATTTTTTTTCAATAAATGAATATTGTTTGTGATTAGATTGTTTTTTATATAAAGATTTTTTTTTTTTTAACTAAACTTTTGCGTTTTTATTTGATAAAGTGTACTAATAACCTTAAAATAGGAATTAATATATTTTATATTATATACAGTTTACAGAGAAAAATTTAAATATTTTATATTATATACAATTTACAAAGAAAATGTACAAATAATCTTTAGTACAAATGCTAGTTAGGTAAAGCATTTCAGAAGTAATAAACTGCATTGTACCTTAGTAAAATAATGTTCTCCATCATAAAAGTTTTTTAAATCTAAATTTGCTTTTATCAAGAATAACTTTGAGAAAAAATAGAATTTTTCTATTTCTAAATCAAAATTATTTTACAAGTAGGTGTTTTGAGAGATAAAATATAAAGAAGAAATATACATAACCCCTGAATTGGATTCCATTCCAACCACCTTGTCATAAATTGATTCTAATATAAATCAAATACCTCCTGTAGTAAGTTGGAGTCATCATGTCATTTAACTTTTGTTACATAATATCGGCTTTCCTGTATGGCAGTGAATGCTCTACAGTGTCCTCACAGATGAGGAAGAGACTTGAGGTAACAAAAATGTGGTTCTACAGAAGGATGCCGAGAATATCATGGACTGAACATGTGAGTAACAATGAAGTTTTAGAGAAAAATGGAAACAAAAAGAAACTTCAGAGTCTGTCTATATTTCTGAGATGAGGTATTATGTACAGTATTTACATTAGTCGGACTATTGTCCTCATCTTTGTCGCCATATTTGTCACAATGTTTCGGCTGTTGTACATTCCGGCCTTCTTCAGGTGGTTGGAATTTCGAACTGAACCCTTTATTTCGATCACTGGGATAGAATATGAGCACTGGTAAAAAATGGTTGCTGAAAACATTAGGTTTATAATACCCAGAAGTTCATACCCAGATGTCCTCAAGGACACATGGCACAGTGGATAAAGGCATTGGTTAGATCCAGTGACAGACCCAAAGAATGTGAGTTCAATACCCGGTTAAAAGTGGAGAACTTTCAAATTAGCAGGAGATAACTGGTAACTGACATCCATCAAACATGGCACGTGGAACTAGAACAGTCTACCCCAGTGATCAAAATAAAGGGTTTAGTTCGAAATTCGAAACGTTGTGACAAATATGGCAAAAAGAAACTTATACTTAACATCAGAAAGAGAGTTGAAATTTCTAGAATACATAATGAGGAAAGAAAGCTTGGAAAATTTTATACTCACAGGACATATTGAAGACAAAAGGGACAGAAGAAACATCACATAACCTGTCTAGCATGCTTGTGTAAATGGTTGTCACAACAAGGATTAGGAGAGATCATAAATTGACAAAATTTACTAAGAGCTACAAAGGACAGGAAATTATTGAGATCACCTACATCCAGAAGAAGCATGTCCCATAGAAGAAGAATTTGTCTTAAAAATAGGATTTTTTTCTTTTTCTTATTAATATTGGGAGTCAGAAAACATGGCACAAAAAAGATTTTTTATAAACATGTTGTTTAGTGAAAATTATGTCGAGGCACCTGCTGATGCTCTTTATGCTTTAAAAGTTGCCAGATGTTGAAATATAAAAACTGACTACAAATGTATTTGCAGAATATTGCTATTAGATGTGTGCTATATGAAGTAAGCGGTGATAAGGCCAAGAATCCCCGACATGCACAAAGAGACTGTATCTTTTATCATGCAGTTTTCCTAACCAATATAACAATTAGTGCACATTTGCTTGATCATCTTATAACTGTTGCAAATTGTTGTAACTCATGTGAATTGTAACTAAGGATATATATTTATTTTTTGGGGAGTTCCAAACTTTCGGATGTAAAAAAAAAAAAAAAAAAAAAAACATTGCTTTCCCTAACTTAAATAATCATGTTAATATTTTAATCACCCATCTCAACATTTGGGTCTTTGAAATATTTAACTGCCTTTGTCATTAATTGTGCCTTAACTTTTGCAATTAAAAAAAAATTTTGCCATTAAATTTTACCATTAAAAATATTAATATTTTCTTACTTTTGAATTTGACACTTGTAGAAAATAACTGAGTCTTAAATACACTTGTTATCGTTTAATCATTTATCTGGTTGAGGCTTACACTGTTTTTTGTATGATCATCAAAGTTAAGCAACATTGAGCCTAGTCAGTACCTAGATGGGTGACAGCTTGGGAATACTTGGTGCTGTAAGCTTGGATGTGAGGGTGGTATAAAGAGCTTATGGCCACATCACATTGAAATAATGGTTCCCGTAGGATCACCAAAGTTAAGCAACATTGAGCCTTGTCAGTACCTAGATGGGTGACTGCTTGGGAATACTTGATGCTGTAAGCTTGGATTTGCAGGTGGAGTAATGGCTCGGAATTGTTAATCAGAGAACAGAGTTCCAATTCCTGTTGGGTTTTTTATATTCACTTATGCACAAATACCTTTGGAAAAGGTATGAATCCACTTCTTCTTCCTCCCCAGCTATAGGTTAATTATTAAGACTTTTATCACTAAATTATTATTATCCCCTCCCACCACCACAAAATTCTTACAATTTAAAAGTATTGTCTGGCTTTAAAATAGCCTGCAAAGGGTAGATAAGCCATAAAAAAACAAATCAATCATTAATTGGTTGCTTTTAAATATAAATTCCTCTAAGATCAAAGCCATCACTCTTCAAACTTGTTAGAATATTTTTACCACTTGCATCTCCTGTTGTGTTTGAGACTTTTAAGAGTTAAATTGGTTACCATGGGTTATAAGCACATTGTCTACATTGGGTTTGTTCTGTCTCTTGCTTTGTCCCTTTCAGAGTTACTGTGAATATCTGCACTTTTGATATAGCTTTGTTATCATTACTCAAGAACAACCTAGAACAGTTACCAACTTAGCCCTATAGTGCCTTATATTCCAGACCCCCAATAATTATTCCACAGTCAAATGATGCTAAATTCTATCCAGATCACAGGCCTGACAGCTATACTATCTCTTTATCTATTATGTCACATGTGCATCATCTGGCTGTTCATTTCTATAAAAGAGTGGAAAGCAATCCAGTGCACTACTGTGTTTGATTTTTTTTTTAGCACTTCAGTTTACAAATTTGCCTTTTGATTATAATTTGATTCTACTTTTGATACTGGTAAAAGTCTAAAATAATTGGCGACCTTGGAAGGATCACCAGGGTGTTGGATAATTGAATGAAGCTTACTCTTCTGTTTGGTGAGATAAAATATTTTTATCCGGAATTTCTATATTCATCATATCAGGACTGTGTGTTCTGGGGAATTTGTATACAGTTAGGAAATCTAAAATCAAATTTTGTATTTAAAAAATTTCTAAAAATTCTCAGAGATAAATACAATGCCAAAAATTTTTTTAATCTGTATTTGGTTAATCATTTCCAAGAAATCTTTGGACAACTGAACTCAATCTCTTTATTATTTATGTTGTTTGCACAGTGGTCTATCCAATGCCATCAGGTCTTTTATTTCTTTATATAATATCAGAGACTTAAAATATTAACCAAACCCACTAGATGTCTGGTAATTGAATATTGATTATCTAATAAGTTTTTCAGAGTTACTATGTTACAGATAGAGATACTAATTTTGTGGTAGTGATATTCTATAAAAATTTGTTTCTCTCTTTTTTTCTCTCTCTCCTATGATCAGACTAAACATTTATAGGCACCATTCATCCATGTTGACTAATTCCATGTTAGCAAAATGGTGCCCTTAATTTTTTTTTTTTTTTTTTCTGAAATTTCATTCTTTAAATCAGTTCTGAGAACCTGAAAGATGCCATTTTACTTCAGAAATCTCCCAGATTTTATAACTGATATTTCAGTCGTAACATCCTTCTGGTAAATGCTGGTCTTGTTTCCTCTCTTTCCCATCCACTTTCTCCCTTCTCTTTCCCACCCACTTTCTTGCACCTTCTCTTTTTCCTTCCTTCCTTCCTCTCTCTTTCCCCTTCTCTTTCTCCCCTCTCTCTTCCCCCTTCTCTTTCTCCCCTCTCTCTCTTCCCCCTTCTCTTTCTCCCCTCTCTCTCTTCCCCCTTCTCTTTCTCCCTCTCTCTCTTCCCCTTCTCTTTCTCCCCTCTCTCTCTTCCCCTTCTCTTTCCCCTCTCTCTCTTCCCCCTTCTCTTTCTCCCTCTCTCTCTTCCCCCTCTCTCTTTCCCCTTCTCTTTCTCCCTCTCTCTCCCTTCTCTTCCCCTTCTCTTTCTCCCCTCTCTCTCTTCTCCCTTCTCTTTCTCTTCCCTCCTTCTTTCTCCCCTCTCTCTCTTCCCCTTCTCTCTCTTCCCCTCTCTCTCCTTCTCTCTCTCTTCCCCCTCTCTCTTCTCCACTCTCTCTTCTCCCCTCTCTCTCTTCCCCTTCTCTTTCCACTCTCTCTTCCCCCTTCTCTTTCTCCCCTCTCTCTCTTCTCCTTCTCTTTCCCCCCTCTCTCTTCTCCCTTCTCTTTCTGCCCTCTCTCTCTTCCCCTCCTCTTTCCCCCTTCTATTCCTCCTCTCTCTTCCCCCTTCTATTCCTCCTCTCTCTCTTCCCCCCTTCTATTCCTCCTCTCTCTCTTCCCCCTTTCTATTCCTCCTCTCTCTCTTCCCCCTTTCTATTCCTAAGAAAAAATATGACAAATTGGAAAAAAAGTTTTTCTGACACATCACACAACTTTTTTCCAATTTGTCATACTATTTTCTAATATATATTAAGACTTTTTAACAAATATAGTAACATTAGTTTTGGACAAAGATGCAAATCAGTCAAATTATCCTAACATCTCATAAATCATTGAGGTTCTTCCTAGCATTTCTCAATGTCCTAAGAATTACTTGACAATGCCCATCTAACCTGTGACAGGTTGTTCTTGGTTACATGGTGTCAGCAGTAGGGTGTCATCCCTGGCTGTCAGATAAACATGTTAATTATAAAAATGTTGGTCAATTCCAATACAAATCAATATGATTCATTTATTCTTGTATAGCCTGTCTGTCAAGATTAAATCTTAATAGATCAGACAGTTTTGTTAAGTGTTTATTTATATACAAGGGGCTGCAAAAGTAGGTATACAGTAAGTTCACCAGATCTTTTTCTTCTGGGGATGTGTAAAGGATATATTTTGGTTTTAATTATTGTATACCTTCTTTTATGTATTCTGTATTTTGTACAGCATGCTGAGAACCATTTGCCATCAAGCACATACTTTAAGACTGTACTGATTTTAAACATATCTGGGGGAAAATTTGATAAAAACATAAGAGACATGACAAGCTTTTCAGATGAACCAACCTGAATAACATCCTTAACTTTATAAAGCAAGTGAGGCCTTACACAAAAATATAATCTCTCTCCAAAAAAAAAAAAATTATTTAGAACCTCTAACCAAAAACTTATCCCTAAAGAATTTAGCTTCAAGCTTCCTTACAAATCATAAGTATACTAAATAAAGGATTCAGTACTAAGGTTACCCACGGATATGTTGATGTGCCATTAAACAAGGAAAAAAAAAAAACAAAAAAAACAAACGATTTATATATTTAACTTATGTAAAGTTTTATTGAGGAATCGGACAGCTGATTTCGAATTCAAGTCAAATCCATTACATTCACTTACGTACTAATACTCTTCGAAAAGGTATTAATCCTCTTCTTCTCCCCCCAACTATGGGTAAATAGTAGGACAGACTGGGTTCTATAGCCTTGGATGGCAACTGGTCTACCACAGAAAGAAATGGCAACTTACTGTGGGGAAAAAAATCTGCCTCGTCAGTCATGTATCAAAAGATACATGATCGTGTAAATGTGTATCAGGCATGCCACATAATTGACTGACAGTTTTATATCGTTGAAATAATCAAGTCAACTTAATTCAGTTTTTGTAGATGTTTTTTTATCTTTCTGCCTTATTGATGAAAATATGTTGTCTTTTTAGGGATTATTATTTTTAATCAATTATTAAATTGTTGATGTTATACCGCTGACACAGCTGCAAGGCCTGTTAATTAAAGATTGCCATACAAACAAGCGATATTATGACAAATAGGTAGAAAGGGTTGAGAAATGAATACACTTGGTTCTTTAGTGTGCGTGCATTTCTTTGTTCTATTAAAATATTACTTACGTTATTTACAGGCCTCATCTTTTATTGTCCTCGTCTTTGTTATTGTTATCATGACCTTTCAGCCAATGTACCCTTCATCAGGTGTTTATTGATCCTTCAGGAAATTTTGAACTGAACCCTTTTGTTTAATCTGTGGGATAGATTGTTCTCATTTTGCAGAGCAGGTCTGGGGATGATCCCGTCGAGTTTTTATTTAATACTTATTGCCTGTGCCTTTAAAATATATCAAGATGTTCCTGCAGATGCCTTAAAAAAATGCTTTCAAAAGATGAGTAGTAAATAATTTATTATGGATTGTCTCCCTTTAATCTGGTAAATTTCAGACTTGTCCATTGCTGACCACCCCACCACCAATGTGAACATATTTGCTTGGCTAATAGTGTAGAATATATAATATATTTTTAATCAAATTTATAGAATATAAATCTGTAGTATAATAAATTAAAATTTGTGTTTATTCTTTCTAATTGGCAGTGTTGAGTTATGGGTCATCCTTGTAGCAAAGATTGATCATCCTATTTTGGCATTTTTCAAAATCTGTATCTCGCTTTATTTTTTGTACCCAAGACATAAACAAAGTAATTTTAATCTGGCATTATTTCTTATTTCATGAATTGTTATATTTAGTGGTTACATGTGTTTGAGGGTATATGTTTTATGTGTTTTTTTTTTTTTTTTTTTTTTTTAAACAATGAAATTAATGTCTGCATGCCTAGGCATCGAAAGTCTTATTAAAGAAAATATGCCTCTTGACAAGAACTGAACCTGTATTCTCTTTTTAACCTGGAAAACCATTTTTATGCAAAGTATGCTTTACCATTTAGCCACAGGAAGCCATTACAGCAAAGCTCAATTATTTTTACTTTGATGTCATTGCTTCCTGTGGTTCAGTGATAACATACACTTGAAACAACTTGAAAGTAGTTTCTCATTGCTTGTGTTAAAAATAATTCATGAAATTCAAAAGAAAACATTTTATTTAAAAAGAGACATCAAATGTTTCCGAATTTGAAATTCTTTGATTCAGTTTCAAATTTACATAATTTTCTTCTTTTTTTTTTTCTTTTTTCTTTTTTTTTTTTTTTTTTATTTTACTCTCTTCATTGCTTATATTTTTATCACTGATGTGTGTAGACCAAAAATAGAATTATTTGAAGTTCCCCCAAAACTAGCTGTGCAGAGGACAAAACAAAGAAAAGGTGTCAATTTCAAAAAAGGAGACAATAATGTTTTGTACTTAACAGATGATGTCACAAAAACGTTAATGTTCTTTGATGCTGAACTTGTTAAAATAAATTTTAATTTTGGATAAATGTCTTTTATTTTAATTTTCTTTTTCTTTCAATGGTTATTTATTGTCTCTGTGTCTTGACTCCCACCACTTATTTTTATTATGAATCTGTGATTAATGTATATACTTAGGTGAAATTGGGTGCCTTGTCATGGAGCAATGGATAAGTGAACTCATCAGGTAGATCATTACTACTGTGTAGTAAGTGTGATCCTCATTAGGTGCTCCTTTTTTGTGGCCTTGTGCCAAAACTGTTACACTGAGTAAATAACAACTCTTAATTATTTTTTCTTTTCAAAAGATTTTTTTAAGTGGGTAAAATACAAATTTAGAAAAAAAATGAAGTCACTAATCTAAAAATATAAAATCCAAGTTAACAATTGTCACTTTCTGATTCAAAATGTGTTTGTTTTTTTATTTATCCTCCTCCATTTGTTTATCTATATACTTGTTTTGTAATTTCAAACAATAGATATAGTAAATATGTCGACATCTGATTTCAGTGTTTTTATATATATATATATATATATATATATATATATACTCTGGCAATTTACTAGAATTTACTTATTTTCAAGTGTAAGGCATTGAATATTAGAGGGATGTTAATTTTCAAGCTTCAGTTTTGTAATTGTTTCAAAATTCCTTAAAGCCTTTTAGCTCCAATTGAAAATGCTATACAAAAATCTTATTGTAATCATAAAATATGCATGTTTTGATTTTTTTTTTGTTTTTTTTTTTAAATAAACATTGTTTTTTTATTTTTTTTTACTTTGGCGATAACTACTTATATACTAAGCCTTTCTGTTTTAAAGAAAATGTTGTGTTCAAATAAAGAGAAGATTTTTGCTTTAAACTCATCATGCCAAATAAATCTGATTTTTTTTTTTTTTTTTTTTTTTTTTAAAAATTTTCAGCTTTGAAACGATCAGTTAATGCAACTTTACAAAATTCCAAAAATTTTGAAATTGAATGAACTGTTGAAACTTACTAAATTGTAAATTTATTTTTGTTTTGTTTTTGTCATTTTGTTCACTGTATTCCACTATCTGTTTTTTTTTATTCTTTTTCACTTTCTCTCTTTTTATTCTCCTTTTTCATTTTCTCTCTTTTTCCATTTTCCCTCTTTTTCTCTCTTTTTTTAATTTTTGCTCTTTTTATTCTCCTTGATCACTTTCTCTCTTTTTTTTTCTCTTCTCCTTGATCACTTTCTCTCTTTTTTTTTCTCTTCTCCTTGATCACTTTCTCTCTTTTTTTTCTTCTCCTTGATCACTTTCTCTCTTTTTTTTTCTCTTCTCCTTGATCACTTTCTCTCTTTTTTTTCTCTTCTCCTTGATCACTTTTTTCTCTTTCTCTTCTCCTTGATCCTTTCTCTCTTTTTTTTCTCTTCTCATGATCACTTTCTCTCTTTTTTTTCTCCTTGATCTCTTCTCCTTGATCACTTTCTCTCTTTTTTTTTCTCCCTCTTCTCCTTTTTCACTTTCTCTCTTTTTTTTTTTTTCTTCTCCTTGATCCTTTCTCTCTTTTTTTTCTCTTCTCCTTTTTTCTCTTCTCCTTGATCACTTTCTCTCTTTTTTTTCTCTTCTCCTTGATCACTTTCTCTCTTCTACTTCTTTTTTTCCACTCTTTTCTATTCCTAGTTCTTATTTGCTGAAGTGTCAGATATACTGTCTATATTTTGTGTTAAGTGTTGAAATGGTTAAAAGCTTTATAACTTCTACACCATTCTGTTTTTGACATTTCTTCACACTTCTTTTGACATTTCTTCACACTTCTTTTGACATTTCTTCACACTTCTTTTGACATTTCTTCACACTTCTTTTGACATTTCTTCACACTTCTTTTATGGTCATGATTTTTTTCTTGTTGCTTCTGATTTTTCCCTCATGACAACTGGTCCATTAAAGCAAATATGATAAAAGAACAAAAATAAAATAAATTCTAATGAGAGTTTAATAAACTTGGCTATAAAATTTCAAAGTGCCTTCACTTAATGCTGCCTTGCACCTTATACAAGAAATGTCTATTTTATGTTGAAAATGGCATAAATCTAATATAATTTTTAAAACATTTTCAGAAATACTGTTAATTATTTAAAATGCATAATTTTTTAAATTTATTTTGAAACACACTGAGTAAAATTACTATTATTGCAGTTAAAACATCCACATTAAAAGAATAATATATATATATATATATATATATATATATATATATATATAAAAATAAATAATGTGTGTGCATGTCT